AAAATTCAATTCAAATTCCTGAAAGCTAATGAAATTACCTTTCGAATAATACCCTCAAACCACAACATTGCCATTGGCCTGTTGTGTTAAAATAGTATTTAAATAATTTTTTTCGGATGTGCGATTTTTTTGACGCCGAGTGTATTAGCATTGCAATTGTAAATTAATTCCTAGAGTACCCGCGGAAAAAAAACTGTGGATTATGAATTATGATTTATTGTTTTTAACCCAGTTCTGATCATTTTAATAATTTATATAAATTATATTATGTTCGCATATGACCACGCTTATGGTGTGCAAAAATTTATTTTCTTTATGTAGCAATGATAAAATAATTATTTATTTTAACATATGTCTATTAGCACTACTTTTATTTAAAAAGATTTTTGATGGAAAAATAGTAGATGTTACTAATCACTCCTCTCGATTCGAACCGAAATACAATGTCGTTAGCTAAATTTTAGTGGCATTTTACATGTAGGTGTGACATTTATCGCCTTTAATGTAAATACTATTTTACTGCTTTCATGGCATATATAAGTCTTACAAAAGATCGTGGACACTTCACGACTTCTGTACATTGCAAAGTAGGTAACTACTAATACTGTAAATGCGCAATATAGGTATTGAATTTACCCAAAGCCTAAATGGCATAGTAATGGAAGTAGTCGGTATAACAAATAAACAGAAAGAGAAGGGCGAGTGTTATGGAACATATTATTATCATGAAATTAAATTGGTGTTGGGTACTAAGATACCACCATTCAATTGGAGTTAGGGTACTAATGTACCACATTAAATTGGAGTTTGGGTACTAAGATACCACCATTAAATTGGAGTTTGGGTTCTAAGTTACTACCATTAAATTGAACTTTGGGTACTAAGTTACTACCATTAAATTGGACTTTGTGTACTAAGTTTTACTAAGTTTAGCAAATCCCCCCCCCCCCATCAACAAGGTAGCGGAATTAAACGATAGACTACCCCAGGAGGGTACCAGTACCCCTGGAGAATCCCTCGCTGAGCATCCACGACCATGTTATTCCAATCCTGAGCGTAGGTGCTCAGACTGCCCCGCGTATTCTGGGGGGGAGGGGGGGGGGGCAAAATTCCGCTCAAAAACATAACTGCTCAGGGCAAACTGAGCAACAATACCAAGGCGACCCCTGTCACGCTATCCGTGAATTTCTGCAACATCAGAGGACTTCACTCTAACCTAAACGCCGTCCACTACCATATCGAGACGGCGAAGCCGGCCTTGCTCTTTCTGACCGAGACGCAGGTTTCCTCTCCGGCTGATATTTCGTATCTCTCCTACCCGGGGTACAAATTGGAGCACTCCTTTGTGCCTCGGGCTGGAGTTTGCGTGTATGTCAGAGAGGACATCTGTTCTCGACGCCTCGGCAGTCTTGAAGGTCCTGTCCATCCCTTGGCTACGCGTAGACAGCGACGACCAACCGCGCGTCTACGGGTTCCTCTATAGGTCCCATAGCGGAAATGCCGAAACAGACCGACTCATCGACCACGTCCAAATGGCTACAGATTCCTTGCTACAACAGGTCCCATCCGCAGAGATCGTGATCGTTGGCGATTTTAACGCCCACCATGCCGAATGGCTCGATTCACGTTTAACCGATCATACGGGGAGATCTGTTTATGACTTTGCCTTGGCATATGGTCTGACACAACTGGTTACTTCACCTACGCGGATTCCAGATGTGGAGGATCATACACCTTCCCTGTTGAACCTTCTGCTGACCTCTCATCCGGACGGATATCAGGTTTCCGTCGATGGCTCCCCTCTGGCTCTTCGGACCATTGTCTGATCTGGAGTGTGGTGCCACTCACGCTCCCTTCGCGGTTGCGTTCTGCAGGTTGCCGCCGTGTTTGGCATTACAGGTCGGCGGATTGGGATGGAATGCGGTCTTTCTTTGCTTCCTACCCATGGCGGGTTTGCTTCTCGCTGGATGATCCCAGCGCTGTTGCTGACTCTGTCACTGATGTGGTGCTGGAACTATTTATTCCATCATCTGTGGTACCCATCGGAGGCAGATCTCAGCCTTGGTTTGGTGGCTCCTGTAAGACTGCATTACGCAGTAAGCAGGAGTGTTATCAAGTCTGGGCTGCGGCTTCGGCGACTCGGGATGTAAACACCAACACATTTAAAAAGAAGTATAACTTCGCCTCCAGGTCCTTCAAAAGAGTTATTGCCAAGGCAAAGTCAGAGCACATAGGCAGAATTGGCGAAGAAACTAGTTCGCCTTCCTTCGGGAACCCGTGCATTCTGGTCTCTCGCCAAGGCTGTCCAAGGGAATTTCTGTAAGCCATTACTACCATTTCTGCACAGGGAGGACGACTCACTAGCCCAAGACGCAAAAGACAAAGCTGACCTTTTAGGCTCCCTTTTTGCGTCCAACTCGACTCTTGATGACGGGGGGAAAACACCGCCGACCATCCCGCGGTGTGAGTGCTCCATGCCGGATGTACTGTTCTCACAGCGCTCGGTTCGCAAAGCACTTCTCTCCCTGGACATCCAGAAGTCGAGTGGGCCTGACGGAATCTCCCCAATTGTGCTGAGGACGTGTGCTCCGGAGTTGGCACCGGTTCTAACGCGTCTTTTCCGGTACTCCTACTCCCAAGGCGTAGTCCCGAATTCATGGAAGACAGCTTTTGTCCACCCGATCCCTAAAAAAGGCGACCGCTCAGACCTGTCCAACTATAGGCCTATCGCGATCACCTCCTTGTTCTCCAAAATAATGGAATCCATTATTAACTGCCAGCTCATCCGGTACCTTGAGGATCACCAGCTGATTAGTGACCGCCAATACGGTTTTCGTCGGTGTCGATCAGCTGGTGATCTTCTGGTCTACCTGACCCATAGATGGGCGGAGGCAGTAGGGTCCAAGGGGGAGGCGTTGGCCGTTAGTCTGGACATTGCGAAGGCCTTCGATCGGGTTTGGCACAAAGCGATTCTTTCGAAGCTCCCTTCCTATGGGCTTCCCGAGAAATTGTGCAATTGGATCACCAGCTTCCTTGCAAATCGGAGCATCAAGGTCGTTGTAGACGGTGCATGTTCTGACTACAAGCCTATTAACGCTGGTGTTCCACAAGGCTGTGTGCTATCACCAACGCTGTTTCTTCTGCATATTGTAACGAACCCATGCATATTGTTCTTCTTCACCCCAAAACACTCTTAGGAAGTCAGCTTTAAAATCATCAAAAGTTGTCCAACGCACATTATTAATGCGAGCCCAATACTTGGCTTCACCTACTAAGCACTCTTGTGCTATCGAAATTTCGAGACCATTAGATGGAACTTTCTTTAAATAATTGGTGAGATCTTCCAAAAATGATACTGGATGAGTATTTACATTTCCAAATTTCGGCTTTTCTATTGTTACATTATGTACATTATATACAATATTTTGTCTAGGATCATTGACATGAGAGGTGCTCGCCCCGGACACCTCTCCTTGATTTATTTTAATTTGGTGACCTTTCGTTTGGTTAATAAATTTTTCCTCAAGATCCTTAATTTTAACCTCAAAGGTTTTCACTGCATTCTTAGTTGATTTTTTCTTATTTTTAGCCATTTTAATTTTTATTTCCACTTGGTTTTTTTTTTATACACCTTTTTGTGTCCTTCACTTACTTTATTTGAGTTTTTCCACTTATTTCACTTTATAATATATAGTATTGCAGTTTTTTTTTACACCTGTTTTGTCCTTCACTTAGTTTAATTGAGTCTTTCCACTTATTTCACTTTTTATTATTTCGCTCCGTTATGCACACACCTATATTATTACTCAATTTTAATATTTAAGCCCCACCCCCAGACTCTCAACCACCCCCAGCAAACACCCTTCTCCAAGACACCTCTCCATTTCACGGACAACAAATTGTAGGCATATAGCCTACCTCATAAATTTATATTGCCGGCCTCCTATTTAAAATTTAACCTCTATCCTGGTCACGGCACCAAATTGTAACGCACCCCCCCCCCATCTTTTTTTCTTTTCTACTATATATCCACTTATACTTGTATTTCTTTAGAATCTATATCTGTAAGATATATAAATATATCTAATTTACGTGACCAGTATAACTTGATCTTTCTAAAGGTTTAAATATAGGCCGTTTAATAAATTTATGGCGTGATCGTCTTAGTTAGGACCCATTTTTTACGTTGTGTTTGTATAGTAACTTAGTTCTTTTAGGTGTATCTTGGAAGAACGAATATTCACGAGAGCAATCGAAAGCTGTTGGTAGAGTCTTATAAGCTAAAGAACCCCGTTCACGAAGACAGAGCTCAAAAAGGTTAAGAACAATAAATTGTCCCTATTCCACTTGTATCTGGTTCACAACAGTCAATTCCTTATTAATTAATCCCTTCCCGCTTGGAAAAGGCTCACAATATTTATATCATATACCAGTTACAAGTAATTCATTCTTGGGGCGATGTATACGCTTTTACAACAAAATTCCAGAGAATATACAAAATATGACCTGCTCAAAGTTCAAAAACTTTATTAAACTAAGTTTTTATAAAAAGGGTTATTATGGATGATAATAACACCTGGAAATGAGGTGATTGCTACCAAATAATTTTTAATTTTTGTGATGTTAATTGTGTAACATACATGATTGTAAGCCGTTATTTAAAAAAACGTCCCGCTGGGTTTCTTGCTGATTCTTCCCAGGACAGAGGTTTTTTTTCGAACCAGTGGTAAATAACAAAAGAGTGACTTTCAATAAGTATTACTTATAATCTATATTGAATAAACAAGTATCTGTTTCTGTTTCTGAATTATAAGTCACTTACGCTCTAAACAGGGGCTTATAAGATGCTTTCTTGGGTCTTGGGGCTTTAGCACCGATATAGTTTGGAAAATTACATTTTTCCAATTCCCGTGTGATAAATAGCCTTTCTTCCGTTCGACCATTTAATAGTATTTTTGAGGTTTTCGTTTCTTCGGTTAGCTGAGACACACTTCGTAAGCATGGTATACAGGATACCCACCCCCGATAACCCCTTGGTGCTGGGGACCAGACGCACCTACACTTACATCTCCAATTGGAGAGAATGCCACATTGCGGGAAGGGAGACGATCGAGGGCTACACACGCTACTCAGAAGAGCTGGTCCTTTCTGTAGTGTTAACATACTTGCCCCCTTTCCACTCAGTGTGCTTCTCTGGCAGCAGAGTAGGTCAAGCAGGACCTGTGCAGGCGCCAAAAACAAATGAGAAAATTGACCACGGCCTATTGGCTCTTTTACTTTCATCATTGATGACGCTGGCAAAACTAGTGACAACACAGAATGTGCCCACGTACACCAAGAGGTGGCAGGCAGCATTGGCCTCACAATCCATAGGGCTGGCAACAAGATTTCACTCGGTCGTTACAGGTAGAGATGATCTCTGGGCGGAGATAGTAGACAGAGTAATGTCCATTGACAAGGCAGGTGCAGAGGGTGCGGTACTCGTACAAATAAAATTATAGTATATATATAGTGTAATAATATGCATCTTTGAAACCAGTCCAGTATATGGATTTCTTCATCAAGTCACACTGTCGAGCAGTGAAGATTCCTGCTGTGCTAGACCAAACTCTAGACCTTAAGGCAAAGTGGGCAGCGGCACGGCCGACAGATGATAAACTTCCTTACAGTCAAGTAATGAATCTGAATACTCACCAAGAGCTCCACCATGCCAACTTTCCCGATCTTTACTATGCGGCTAGAGCCTTTGCCAAAGCCAGTAATATGGTAGGAGAGAACTTCCAGATATCACAGTCTCACCAATCAAGTCACTTTATTTATTTATTTATTTGTTACAAGATCCACAGCCCTAATAACAATGTAAATGAACTTAAGAAATAAACTTACAGCCAATAACGGATCTACTTTATACATTTTTTAACTTAAATTAATAGACCGACAATCAATAAGTTTGTGCCACAAAAACATACAATTTTAGAATTGACAATTAAAAACGGCGCGTCTCTCTTTCTCTCTGATCTGTGTGTCCGTGTACGCGCGCACTTGTGTGTGTGTGTGTGTGTGTGTGTGTGTGTGTGTGTGTGTGTGTGTGTGTGTGTGTGTGTGTGTGTGTGTGTGTGTGTGTGTGTGTTAACAAATACATCAAAAAGATGGCCTCAGCTGAGCTGGGAGAGCTGTCGTAGGATACAAAGTCAAAGCTAACACAACTCCGTTACCCTATCAGCAGAAGACGTTTGAGGGATGACTCAGACTCTAATAATGAGGAGGAAGAACCTCGCAGAAGAAAATCTCAAAGACACTGATTTAGGATGTAAGCATGCTATTATCTAGAATGTAAGAGTAAAAAAACCTCTTTATTATTCTTATTATTATTCTTCTGTTGACCATGTCTAAACGTACTTAGAAGTAATAATAACTACCGAAACGGGAGGACGACCAAAATGAACAAGAGGTGGCTGGCGAAATAGACTAATGGCGGTACACAGTCAGATTCAATAACACATCTGCAATTTACATCTTCCTAGAGATGAGGCAACACGACAAGCCTTTCGCAATCGTTTACTTCTTCCCGAAGACTAACACTATGAAGCAATCTGTACAAGCACAAATACCAGCAAAAAAACCTATAACTATGGACCTTAGAATATCTAAAGCTTACAATATTTTAAATGATACTTTTTAATCAAAGTTACGGGACAGGAGTCAAGCTTTTGGAAATTATGTAGCTTCAAAACACCGTGAATATTCCAAACGCACTAAAGCGTACGTCGAACAATACATATAAATATACTATTCGAAGCTGAGATGTGGAAATTTGAGTTAAATTTATCAACAACTCCAATGTCGTCATATTCGGACAAATCATAAAATATCTGTGTCTATAGACAAACAACCTAAGCCAAGCATTACACATTCCTAACGGACAGATTCCAGCAGATAATATTGGCACTGAAGAAAATGAAAACAATTTGATATATTTCAATAACTACTTCAAATAAAAATGGCTCTTTTCTCGCTCAAAGGTTAAGTATAGCCATTCAGCGAGGAAACGCAGCCGGCGTTCTTGGCAAGATATCGCGGGGAGTAGGGCTGTTTGATAATTAAATTATTAGTTTTAGTTTTTTTTATTATAGTTTTTAATATTTTTTATGACGGAGTCATCATCGATGACGTCATTATTATGATTCTAGGTGCAGTCATTATTGTTTTTAATAATAAAACTCACGACACGTATTTGATCTTAACTGGTTTTACTTATTACAATTATTCACAATTAACGATTATTCCCTATTTATAATTAACCAACTCAACTAGGTCTGAACAGCTCGACTGCACGAACAAGAATGAATGCTGCCCAAGCCGCCGCGCGTCTTTTAATTATATTTTGAATTAAAGCATTTTAAATTATTTATAAGTAACAATAATCAACTAATTTTAAAATAAAAACAAAATGTTATAAACAATCAAGTTATAACATTATTTCTGCAGTTGAAATAACGCTTATTAATGTTTAACACGATAATAATTGTTTAACTCTTTCAGCGTAGGTGGTTAGTAACGCTAACCACCTCTTTTACCTATGATATTCTAAAAATAACGCCACCTTTTGGTAACTTTATGAATGAATATGACCTCTATAAATGATCGTTAGGTGTCATTTGAATCGATTGTCAGTTACAATTACGAACTTGAGATTTGATGGGTCGCGAGTGTTTTAATTCACGGAGATTGCATTTTTGATTGGATTAAAAAGGTATGTTTTCGTTATTATTACGTTATTCTTATTTTGAAATACGACGAAAGTGTTGCTGTTTACATTTGTCTGTAGATTTGACTATAGTATTATTCGTAACATTACTAAAATAGTACTTGAATGTGGTGGTTAGTGTACGTAACCACCGTGACATAATAGGCCAATAAGTTACATATAATTTGCTAGATATTTACAATTTGGTTTTTGTTTTTTTTTTATAGGATGAAGCGCGCATTACAAGAAAAAGAAATTCAAAATATCTTGCAAGAAGATATTCCTTCGGATCCTGAAAGTTGTGTGGAGTCGGATTCAGACTGTGGCTCAGAACCAGACATTGATCAAGCCCCCGAATCCACCCTTGGTAATGACACTATCGCTGTGCAGACATTCAATGACAACTTTGACTCGGATGATGATATACCTCTGGCTAATTTTGTAAGTACCGCTACTACCTCTGCTTCTACTTCTCAACCACGTGATGATATTTCTTCGACATTTCGGCCACCGAAATGGAAAAAAAGCTACCCTATGAAACTGCCTGGTACTTTTTGTGAGATTTTTGGTATTCCTGAACATATTCAAAGCATGGAAAATACAACGCCTCTACAACTTTTTCGCTTGTTTTGGACAGAGGATTTGCTAGAAATAATCAGCTTTCAAACCAACTTATACGCTGCTCAAACTGGTAAAAACTATAAACCGACTACTCCTGAAGAGATTGATGTGTTTCTGGCTCTAAATTTGGTTATGGGTATTAAAAAGCTACAAAGATTATTGGTCATCTGCACCTGATCTACATGATAGCTATATCTCCTCTTTTATGCCTTTGAACAGATTTGGGTGGCTTTTGAAATATTCATTTGAACGATAATAGCTTGATTCTTTCTAGGCAGAGTCCCAACTTTGATAAATTGTATAAAATTCGTCCTTTGTTGGATATTATTCCAAGAAACTTCCGCGCTAATTATAAGCCTTCAGAAAAAGTTGCAGTAGACGAAAGTATGATAAAATTTAAAGGACGGTCTTCTCTAAAGCATGCCGAAAAACCCGATGAAACGGGGCTATAAAGTTTGGATGAAGTGTGCTGAGTCTGGTTACTGTCTCGATTTTCAATTATATACAGGCAAACAATAACACAATGTAGAAAAAGATTTGGGTGCGACAATAGTAAAGCGATTATGTACAGATCTCAAAGGCAAATATCACAGAGTCTACTTTGATAATTATTTTAACAGTTACAAATTGCAGATTGATTTACTACGAGTAAACGACAAAATCTTGGCTTGTGGTACTGTAAATGTTACTAGAAAACATTTACCTACACTCAAAGAAGATACTAAGTTAGAAAGGGGTGAACATGACTATAGAGTCAGTGACACAAATGTGACTGTGATGAAGTGGAAAGATAAGAGGGTAGTCCACCTTTTATCAAACTACCACGACCCACAAAATGTCAGTACTGTTATTCGCAAAGAGCGTAATGGTGACTCGAACCAGATAGCTTGCCCTGAAGTTGTAAAGGATTACAACGCAAATATGAACTTTGTAGACAAGTTTGACCAACTCAAAAGCTGTTATGCCATTGAAAGAAAGTCTCGTAAATGGTGGCATAGAATATTCTTTCATTTCTTGGACTGCGCGTTGGTAAATTCTTTTGTTATTTACAAAAATCTTCAAAAACTCGATCATATGGGACTGTCAAGACTGACAATGAAGGAATTCCGCCGTTCTGTCTACCAGAGCATTCTTGCCCCTGCTTTTGTGAATAAGCGATCTTACGGTTCCAATATCAGTTCTCCAGCGCATTCTCCGATTCCTGTGCTAATAAAACGTCACAAATCAACAGTTCCCCAAGAAATACATTTAGAAAGTAGTCGGCATCAACCACAACAGGGCACATCGAGGCGCTGCTGCAAGTGCAGTATAAAATCTCAACCAGTACGCACAGTTTGGGAGTGTAGCATGTGTAAAGTTCCTCTTTGCCTACGTAAAGGAAAAACTTGCTTTGCTGATTTTCACAAAAAGTAGTTGAAGTAAGGGAATAATTCTAAAAATAAAGTTCTTTATTCATCATACATGTTTTATTCTATAGCCACAGTGGTTACAGAAACAGAAACAGAAACAGAAACTTTTTTATTCAATATAGATTATAAATAATACTTATTGAAAGTCACTCTTTTGTTTGATTACCACTGGTTCGGAAAAAACCTCTGTCCTGGGAAGAACCAGCAAGAAACCCAGCGGGACTTTTTTTTAAATAACAGCTTACAATCATGATGTTACACAAATTAACAACACAACAAATTAGAAATAGCTTGGCAGCTATCACCTCATTTCCAGGGGTTATTATCATTCATAAATTCCTTAATATTATAATAACCTTTTTTATACAAACTTAGTTTAATAAAGTTTTTGAACTTTGAACAGGCCAAACTTTGTATATTTTCTGGAATTTTGTTGTAAAAGCGTATACATCGCCCCAAGAATGAATTACTGACTCGATGGAGTCGAGTAACTGGTACTACTAGCTTGTGTCTGTTCCTAGTATTTACAGAATGAATATCACTTATTTTTATAAAACTACTTTTATTTTTGTGTACGTACATTACATTTTCATAAATGTATTGAGAGGCCAAAGTTAATATATTAATTTCCTTAAATTTTTGTCGCAGCGACTCTTTAGGCTTTAAATCATAAATTGCTCTTATGGCCCTCTTCTGCAAAACAAATATAATTTCAGTATCAGCTGCGTGTCCCCATAGCAAAATACCATACGACATTATGCTACGGAAGTAGCTGAAGTAAACTAGTCTAGCTGTTTCAACACTGGTTAGACTTCTAATCTTTTTTACAACATATGCTGCAGAACTAAGTCTGCTTGCTAGTTTTGATATATGGGGGCTCCATTGAAGCTTCGCGTCTAGTGTGATTCCAAGAAAAATGGTGGTATCTACAAGACTCAGTTTCTCCCCATTTAAAATTACATTAGTATTTAATTGTTTGACATTTGGAGTCACGAATTTCATACATTTTGTTTTAGTGCCATTTAAATGCAAATTATTAACATCGAACCAATTTACTAATTTAGATATAGCATTATTTACTTCGTCATATTTTAGTAACTGTCGACTTAATTTGAAAATTAAAGAAGTGTCATCTGCAAATAATACTATATCATGGTTATCCCCTACTATGTAAGGTAAGTCATTAATGTATACAAGAAACAGAAAGGGGCCGAGAATTGAGCCTTGAGGCACGCCCATTTGTACCATCGATCCGGAAGAGCTCATATTGTTAATGACAACTTTTTGCGTTGTCTTACTTAAATATGAAATAATTAATTTAAAGGGCATCACTTCTTACACCGTAGTGTTGAAGTTTCCTGATTAATGTTTCATGGTGAACACAATCGAAGGCCTTGGATAGGTCAAAAAATATACCCAAAGCATAAAACTGTTAGTACTGGTAACCACCTCATTCCTCAAAAGCCTTAAGGCTGAAGCAATTTTTTTATTTTTTTATACATGTTGTAGTCCTAACTAATACAGCCATATATATTTTTCTTTATATTATTCGAAATATAAAAGTGTGGCTCAAAGAGTTAAGTAATGCGCCGATACGTCGCTTATACTTTGTTGCGCCGATACGGCCATTCTGATTGGTGGTGCTCAGCACCTACCAATTTTATTCTTACAGCTTTACTGCTGTTTGTTTATTTATTTGTGTTTCGACCATACATCACGTCTACACACTTAATTCTCGTAGTCTCGTAGAATAGAAATGGAGTGATACTGTGCTCTGGGCGGCCCTGTTCGCCGTGGTACACAGGGGCTCTATAGGAATTAGGATTAGGTCGATGCTGTGTTATACACAGTGGCTCTAAAAGAGAAAACTTATTTTGCAATAGTTAGAAGTTTTGTTCTTGTGTTAAGTTCTGCTGTTATGAGTCTTAAGAAGTCGACGGCCCGGGCTCACTTGTTCCACTAATATCACCAGGGCATGGCTCTCTTTCCGCCGATACGGCCCTCTGGTTCCCCGGTTGTGGGGCCCGACGTAGTTGGCCGTGAGCGACTTTTTGAGGGCGTCCTCTGCCAATTACCTTTTTCACCAAATAATGATCGTTTTCAAGTACTCTGCATATCTCATAGGGTTCACTAAATTTAAGGTCTACTGAGGTTTGATTGCGTGGATTATTTTTGATAAGTACGTATTCTCCTTTCTGGAAATGACAGATCTTAGCTTTTCGTTGATTAAATCGTTGTCTATCTTGTTCCGATGCTTGAGACATTCCATTCTGCACATGTCTGGAAAGGGCGTCAATATCAATAGGTTGATTATCCATATTTACTAATCCGAGTAGTTCCTGTGGAACACAGTATTTTCGTCTTGTGAGTAGAGTGAGGGGAGCGACACCTGTTACTCGATGAACAGTACAATTCATGGCCATCAACTTCAAAGCCATTGTTCCGTTTCATAATTTTTATCATTATTAATGAGTTCTTAAGCGTTGCTATTATTCGCTCAACTTTTCCGTTAGCTCGGCTGATTCCTGATGATATATCATGGATGTTTATTCACAGCTGTTGGCAATAAGTCTTGAATTCCCCCAAGAATTCTTTGCCTCCATCCACAATTATTTGAAGTGGTGTTCCAAATAGGTGTATAGTATGTTTTAGTGCAGCTAATGTGCTGTGCGTATTGGTAGCATAATAAAACAGCACATATTTTGAGAAAGCATCGACAGTTACTACAACATATTGCTGGTCATCTGTAGTACCGAGCTGCCAGTAGTAGTAGTAATATATACTTTATTGTACACCACACATATACAACGAATAAATACATTACAGAGAAAACTTAATATATACGTATGTACAATAAGGCGGTCTTATCGCTAAAGAGCGATCTCTTCCAGACAAACTTTGGGCTAAAGAGAAACTGGAATTAAGAACAGTAGGAGGTGGTGCGCTTTATGTTACACTTACATACTAATATCTAAATAAACTAAACTATATTTTGTTAAAATACCACAATAATACATAAAAAATAATAATAAAATAAACATACATATTAATAAATAGGTATATATATATATATATATATATATATATATATATAAATATATACACATACATATATATACAAAGATAATAAATATTGCTAGAATTGGTTATCAATTACCACAAAGTGTTAGGTAATGCTTCTTGACGTCACTTTTGAATCTTTTCAAAGTTTGAGCACGTTGAATTTGGAGTGGAAGTTCATTCCATAACCTTATGGCTTGGCTCGTAAAAGAATATTTCATAAATTTTGTTCGAAATGAACATGGTTCTAGAATTAGTTCGCCGGCTGACCGAAGAACTCTATCAGGTCGATCATGACCAAGAAACTTAAAGTTTTCCTTCAAATAGCTTGGAGTCAAAGGATTGAACAACACGCAGTACAAAAGAGATACAGTTTGCAGATTCCGGCGAAAGCGAATGGATAACCACTTGAGCTGTAAACGATATTCAGATACATGATCATATTTGCGCAAACCAAATATGAACCTAATAGCAATATTTTGAATTCGCTCAAGTTTGTTCAGTTGGTCTTCAGTTAAATCGAGATAACTTGCGTCCGCATAATCGAGAATAGAGAGAAGTAAGGATTGTGCTAACATAATCTTAGTGGGAATGGGGAGAAAAGAACGTAAACGACGAAGTAAACCCATAGTAGCAAACACCTTTTTGCTCACTTGTTTTAACAAGGTAGAATCTAGATATATTCCCAGATTTTTAAAGATTTACTGTAGGGTATGACAACGTCATTTAGTGTCACCGAGGGTAGGTTGTTCCAGTCAACTCTGGAGACCATCCCTCCACCACCAATAACTATAGCCTGGGACTTGAACGGATTAATTTTTAGACCATAACGCTGACTCCACTGGTTTATCGCCGCTAGGTCATTGTTGATGGTGGCAACAGCAGAAGGCAGATTTAACAGAGTTGACTGAGTGTAGATTTGCAGATCGTCTGCATACATGTGATAGAGAGAAGTAATATTTTGAGAGATAGAATTAATGAATATAGCAAAATGTAAAGGAGACAGCACACCACCCTGAGGCACTCCAGCCCGTAATTCGCACCAAGATGAGAACTCATCTACGATGCGAACACGCTGCCGTCGGCCGTAAAGATAACTATGAAACCAGCCAATCACCGGAGGAGATATGTTAATAGAACGTAACACACTCAATAAGATGTCAAAATCAACAGTGTTAAACGCATTGCTAAAATCAAGCAATACTAACACAGTGAGCTGTTTGTTATCCATACCTCGTCGAATGTCATCAGTAACTTTAACCAACGCTGTTGTCGTACTATGACCCGATCGGAAACCAGATTGGAGAGGATCCAGGATACAATTTCTATTTAGGTAGAGATTTAACTGAAAGAAAACTAGTTTCTCCAGGAGTTTGGATAAAAACGGGAGAATTGAGATAGGACGAAAGTCGGAAAAATGCAAAGCATGGGGTTTTTTTGGGAGAGGCGTTACAAGTGCAGTTTTCCAAACATCAGGAAATTTTGATGAGGAGATGGATTTATTCAAGATATGGGTAAGGATAGGAGTAACAAATTCTAGGATAGGTAAGATCATGTTACGAGTAACATTGTCATCACCCACGGCATTGGACGAGATGGACAAAATGTTCTTTCTAACATCACTATCAGTGAAAGGAGAGAAATTAAACGGTGGAAAATCAGGAGTTGGTATTGAAGAAAGAATACTCAGAGTCCGATCTTTATCTGAGCTATCTAATGTGCTAGAACAGGTGAAGTATTTGTTAAGGAATTCAACATCAACATTATGATGAGGAGAATTATTGGATGTTTTACCAACTCCAAGAGACTGAAGAAACTTCCAAACTTTGGCTGCGTCGCCGTTTTCGACGGATTTATGAATATGGCGTCTTTGTGCATCCCTACACAATGTATTGCAGCGATTCCATACTTTATTATAATATCATAAGTTTTTCTCAGATTTAT